CAAGTATGTGAACACAAATACTTCTAGTTACACATGCCTGTAATGCACTGACCAAATATATCTGGCCTGAAATATGAGTTTTGAGTGAGCAATATTATGGATAGAGGATTCATATTTTAGCCGGTAGCAACAGACTGAAGTTAAAATACCTCAATAATAGATTTGTTTTGTTTTTTTTACAAACAAGCAGCTTTTTTTCTTTACAATACATTAATTGATGGACTGGAGTGGTGTGGATTACTTGTGGATTAATGTGGTGTTTTTATCAGCTGTTTGGACTCTCATTCTGACGGCACCCATTCACTGCAGAGGATCCATTTGTGAGCAAGTGACGTAATGCTACATTTCTCCAAATCTGATGAAGAAACAAGCTCATCAACATATTGAATGACCTGAAAGTGGGTACATTTTTTGGGGGGCAAATTTTAATTGCTGGGTGAACTACTCCTTTAAAGTCACACACACTTTCACTGACCTGTTTCCTGTGTCAGTGAATGGAATGAGTACAAATATTTCCCCTTGATCAGCCTGTTCCTCTCCCAGGGCCCATGACTCTGTTGGTCAGGACAGTCACTGTTCAGAAGGGAAGGAAGGTCACTGCCACCAGCAGGACACGGACGCTTGGCACAGCAAGAATCAGGCTGCCGTGCGTCAATGCCGGGAGAACGTTCACGGTACCCAAGGACACATCATTGAATAGGGCTGCGTGAATTTTTCTAAACAATCCCATTATGGAAAAAAAAAAAAGGCATTTGGGGGATGTTTATTTTCTATGTTACAAACTTACCATAAAGCAAAATTTATAGGCTTAAGGAACATTTACAGCACAACTGAGAGTTTGGAACATTCCTGTTAGCATGGCTAAATATTTGAAATATATGAACGCTGTTGCCTAATGAGCCTGAGGTTTCAATTACTGAGAATCATCTGAAAGTAATTAAGTAGAGGAGCAGCTCACATCGATGGATCAGCCCTGAACACACTCTCAACGGCTATGTTCGGAATGAAATACATGAGTATTGCATACTGCATACTATTAAAAAAATACCTGAATCAGTGTACAGCAGGGTTATTATAGTTAACAAAAAGCATTAAAAAACATTTTTGTTCATTGAAATTAAATAAACGTTAATTAAACAAAACATTTTGAAATATATATTTTATTTCAGCTAGTTAACAAGGCAACATTTCTCATTTTCACCCTGTCATACTTGATGTACTAAAATAACTAAAACTGAGATAAAAATTAATATAAACTATATAGAAATTTTTTTTAAATGACAAAAACAAAATTACTAAAACTTCAAAAAAAAAAAAAAACTAATTGAAACTATTAATAAAACTATAATAGCATTTCTGTGATCCTAAAGTAACACTGGTGTGCAATATGTAATGGTAAACACTTCAAACATTGCATTTTTAAAGGAATATAATATTAGCATATAATATATAATGTATACGGCCTACTGTTTTTCTAAATAATATATAGTATACAATAGTAGTATGCAACAACTTTTTGCAAGTGTTCAGCATGAGATGTCTAGTAATCTGAATGAAATACTAGCATACTGCACATTCAACACAGTCTCATGACAATTCGTAACTGTTTTATGCTATGTTTACGTGTTCATTTGTATGTTTTCGTATGACTCACTTACGCTCCATTGAGGGTTAATGCAGTGCAGCTTCATGCTTACTTTTTTTATTACAAATTGTACATTTTCCTATGAATCACATTGTACACATTTGTACGAAATTCGTAAAATACTTACATTTTCTTGTCAGAACTGGTTGGCACACTGCACAGTATAGGCTATACTGTATGTAATGATGTTTTCACCTATTGGTAAAAGTGTAGTACTCAGCTTCATTTAACACATTTCACCATGTTTCAATCCATTTCCCCAAAAAAAATCTGCACAAAAAAAGGCAAAATCTAAAATCCTGAAGATAAAAAAAAATCTAAATAACACTTCAAAATAGCATGAGTATTATTCAATTTCAAACATATTGTATAATACAAGTACTGTGCACTATAACATTGGTCTGGAATTTAATGCAAATCTAACCTGGAACCCACTGCTAGATACTTTCTGCTAATGCTAAACGCAGCTGCACAGCCGAGATGGATGGAAGCTTCCATGTAATTCCGAGTCAAATCTAGCGTGGGAGTTTTGATTGCAGATTTGGGATATAAAATTGTTTCAAATGCACTGAAGTAGTTTGAATAACTCATATGATAGAGATTACGAGTCTCCAGGCACAGCAACTAAAAGCCATCACAGCTCATTTTTGGCCTCTCCATGGAAATCACAGCTAATCTTCAGAAAAGCAAGCGGGAATAAGCGTCCCAATTGGGACTATGGGTGGGTGTGAGACCGTGGTTCCTTAAAGATGGAATCATGGATATGGAATGAAGATCCAGTAGCCTGTTCTGAGTGGTTGCTAGGTGGCTGTCCTGGCCAGAGTCAATAAATCCCACCCAAGTCTCTATGATGGGAATTGTTTGCTCATTTTATCCTCTGTAAGTTTCTTAATTAGAACAAGCCAAATAATTTGATAAATCATTAATGTTTGTAACACAAATGGTGGTGGGACACTTACACCATGAAGTTTACTTAAGGCCCCTTTACACCAAGAACTAGTCTATAGACCTAAGAGAAACAAGTGCGCCGCCATCTTTATAACTTTGTCTTTGAACTTTCGATTTTGCGGTCTAGCATTGCTGTTGAAGAGTAATTAGCTTGTGATGTGGATTCACTTATTATAGTTAACGAATCATGTGCATGGTAATGCACAAAGCGATGTCATAACAAATGTCAGTAGATCGGGAAGATTTTAAAACGAGCGGTTCATTCATAAATTCGTACGATCTTACTGTGGAAATTCAAACGGTGGACAGAAGACAACGACCGCCGCGCTGGAAAGGGGCGGAGCTACATACGGTCTTCAGTTTAGTGTTGCAAGTCTGCGGTTTACTCGCGGAATTGGGCGACTTTAAAGGGGTCATATGATGCTGCTATAAAGAACATTATTTTGTGCATTTGGTGTAATGAAATGTGTTTATGCGGTTTAAGGTAAAAAAAAAAAACACATTATTTTCCACATACTGTACATTATTGTTTCTCCTCTATGCCCCGCCTTTCTGAAACGCGTCGATTTTTACAAAGCTCATCGGTCTGAAAAACGAGGTGTGCTGTGATTGGCCAGCTATCCAGTGCGTTGTGATTGGCCGAATACCTCAAGAGTGTGACGGAAATGTTACGTTTTTTACCATACTGTGATGCCGTGTCCCGGCGCAACGAGACAAAAACATTAAAACCCTGACACGGGTTGAAGCGACCCCAATTACGTGATATTTAGCCTGTGGAATGCTAATTTTACCAGGGGAACCCCGCCAAAATACGTATATTTTACCCCCACAAGGCAATTTTTAATGGGGGACCACCCTCGAAACACGATTGGGCAGGCTTTTTGTGAAAACGTGGCAACCCTAAATTAGCATCCACATCAAGGCATGCTAACGTTCTGTTTACTATAAGCGTTCTTTAAAGTAGGATGGATTCTGATTTGCTGTCAGTGTTTTCATCATTCATCAGCTGGAAAAAAAGTCGTTTTTAAAGTGATTCCAACAATGTTGTTCCTCTGTTGTTATTGTTATAGTTGTAATTTTCCTCATTCTCATTCAATAAGGATGATTATTAAAACTTAAGTTATTATCGCCTTGGTTTGAACGGGTCTTTACTTTCACAGACTTTTTCATTAACTGTTCCCTCCTGGTGGAATGACCTGCCCAACTCAATCCGAGCAGCTGAGTCCTTATCTATCTTCAAGAAACGACTAAAAACACATCTGTTCCACCTTTATTTGACCCTCTAACTCTAGCACTTTCTGTTCTATTTTAATTCTACTTTATCTATATTTATCTTCTTTTTAATTTTTTTATTAAAAAAAAAAACAAAAAAAACAAACAAACACTAGCTTTCTATTTTTTCATTTCTAAGTCGCTTTGGATAAAAGCGTCTGCTAAATGACTAAATGTAAATGTCTTTAATGTTAACTTAGTGGCTTGATAAAATCTCTTCAAGCAATAATAATGAGTCTTGATTTAGCAAAACTATAAATTCAGCTACCCTCAGGACCAAATGATTTCCCTGAGTTTCTGCCAGTGCCATTGTTCAGTTCAGTGATTTGCATTGCTGGAAAACGGATTTTTTACGATAAAAGTTCCCACCAGCAGAAGATAACATGCTCTTTTGTTTGTGGATGGAACATGAAGGAAAGGAAGCAAAGGTTGAGTTCAGTCCTGTGGAAAAAAACAATAGAGTTCGACTAGAGGACAGTGGGGAAAAAAAATTCCTGCAGGAGGAGAAGACGGGCGACTGGCGGAGAGATAATAGCTTTAAGTATTTGAACTTGTCCTGCTGGCTATGGAAAGCAATTAAACTGATCATTGAGAAATACAATAAATATTGGTTTCAGGGCCTTAAAAGAACAATAACTCACCTTTGGCCTAATTTACTTTCTAGAGTGACAACTTAAAGGAACAGTTCACCCAAACATTAAAAATAGCTTGAAATGTACTCATTCTTAGACCATCAAAGATGTAGATGAGTTTGTTTCTTCATCAGAAAAGAAAAATGTGGAGAAATTTAGTATTACATCACGTTTGCCAATGGTTTCTCTGCAGTGAATGGGTGCCATCAGAATGAGCCCAAACAGCTGATAAAAACATCACAATAATCCACATTATTACCAAAAGTGCGATTTGTGTAAGAAGAAATAAGAAAAATGGAATTAATAAGTTAACCTAGATTTAAGCCATGCTGCAGAAGGGTCCAAATGATGTCACTTCCTATTGTCACATTTTATGGAATATTCAATAGTAGGAATAATTCATAAACATTTTTAGACAAGGACTATAGTAATGATATCAACTCAATTAAATCCACTTGGGTAGAATTAGATTCACCTACATTAATATTCTGTTTTAATACTGAATGAATAGACAGTTTGAGATGTGCATTTATACATGGTATTTTCTTTAATGCCATCTGGTCATTTCAACTGTAATAAATAAAGACTGCCCAACAGTGAGAGGGGGCGGGGCTTCTCACAGTGACTGGCAGCACTGTGTCAGTCAGTGCCTCAACCGTTCAATCAAGGAGCGGCAGCAATTCCATCATCCAATCGGCATATAAACAAATTACAGCATAGTAAACAGCCATTCATTCTCTCTTACTGGCTGAAAAGAAAGCAGAATCAGTTCTATAGGAACTACATGCAAAATTCAGGCTGTAGTTTTACTCACTTTTGTACTAACCCTAATTGCGTTACCTCTACGAACATCGCGTCCTGATGATCTGCGAAGCTCTGCTTGTTACACAATGATCGTCAATTAAAGCATTCAAATGCAACCTGATCTTTCCAAGGGCTTCTTCAAAATTCTAAACAGAACGTTCTAGAAGGTCCTCAAGAGTCCTTCATGATGTGCGCCTGATAAAAGTCAAACATCGCTAAATATTCTCTATTTCTATGGTCACATACAAACAAACATACACTCGTACACAAACCACACTTAGTGTCTTGGCCGTACAGCCCATAATAGTCTTCATGTGGATGATTACGAGAAAACAAAAAGAGTCAGGACATCATTGTCAGGCCGCAGCCTCTTCTCAGTCACACAGCCGGAGCATCTTGCGGCTCGTTTGCCGGGATTCCACATACACGCATCAAGCCCTCCCAGACACAAGGGGGCGCTACACAGCAAGCGTGTACGGGATCCAGCGGGTGGGAGTAAAATGAGGGGGGACAGATTCTTCGCATGAGGTCACCGACGGCATCAAACTTCACAGATGACTACCGGAAAATCGACGTGGATACAAGGGTGATCCAACTTGATGATTCCCTATGGAAAAATGCGCAATAAAATGTTTGTGATAATAATTTAACGATTAAATCATGCATCAAATGTTCGCAAAACACTATGATGCTGACTAACCTGAGGTATGAGATTCTTGTGGATTCGTTTTAGTTTGGCTTTCTTGCGGCCATTTTTTGTCACTACTGTTTCTTCGTAAAACTCGTGGGCAAGGTCGCCATCCTCATCGAAGTACAAAGAGCTTCAAAACATGGATACAAGTTAGAAAACATAAATAAGCAATGTTTAATACCTTTTCATGAGTCTAAAGGCCTGTTCACACCAACAACGATAACTACATTAGCATCCACACCAACACACAATAACGTTTTCTTTATTATAATTGCATGCTGCGGTTTTGTCATCTGCCGCTTTAAATGGTTGAGATCTTAAAAGCAGGATTGACTCTGATTGGCTGTCAACGTTTTTAATGGTTCATTAGCTGGAAAAAAAAAAACTTGTTCTGACAGTGATTCCTACAATGTCGTTCCTCTGTGCCGTTAGAGTTAAAATTATGGTGTTGCATAGAAGTGAACAATTATTAAAACTTTAGAGTTGTAGTTATCGTTATTGCTCTTGGTCATTTTTTTTGCATTCCACTGTGCAGATTTTCAATAATTTTTCTATGCAAGCATGCTAAAGATGTTTACATAGAATGTTTATATAAAGAAATGTATATAATTTCTTGCATAGTACATTTTTTGCATATAAATGCATGTTTCATTACTAGGTCGCTTCATTTTTATTTTTAAAGAAAACATGTAATAAAAATTAAAGATTCGGAGACAAATAATCTATTTTCCCATATAAATATTACCCGACGATGGCATTACAACACAGTGTATTCTACAGGAAAATTAATTTATATTTTTTTATTGTTTTGCATAAATGTTTGACAAACTTTTTTCTTCTTCAAAAAGCAGATTAAATCATTCAAAATTGGTTGTGCATATCAGTTGCCAGACACGTAAACATAAATCAGTTGACCTCTAATAAAAAAATCTGTATTTTCTTAATTACGTTTTAAAGATGTACAAATAAGAGGAGTAAACCGGATCACCCGGTCAAGGTTTATTTTGAAATAATGTATCAGTGTACTTTATTTTTTACTTAACACCAAAGGTTCAGTTTCCTCAATGACTCTCAACAGTTTGAAAACGTTACTTTCCAAATCTGCAGTGAAACTCAAGTATGTTTGTTGTTCAGATCATCTGTTTCTTGATGCCAGTGTAAGTGGCACAGTGGTCCAGTTATGCTGTCTGAAATGAAGTCACATGCCAGGAGCTGTGGTTATATTTACCTCCTCCTGGTAAACACGAAAGGCGTCGTGTTTCGGATGCTCCGCACCCGGGCCAGGCTCTGCTCTTGGCCGTCTTTCGCAGGTTCATCTCCGCCACCTGAACCTGAGAACGGCCAGTAGCCTTTACCTTTAGACCCGCTGCCGCCCATCATGGGCTGCAGAACATTCTCCTCCTGCTCGGGTCACACTCGGACGGCCGTACAGCTCTGGAAGAAGAAACAATAAACTGTTATTGAACTCATAGTGTTAAATATTGACATATTTGACCTGATAATGTCAGTCACGATGAAATATGGCTACTCTTTATGACATGGGAAACCTGGGATCTCTGCTTTCCCACTCACACATATTATTAAAGGGAAATCCCTCAAGTTGCTTTAGGTTCTTATTAATTAGACACTTTATGTAACAAATTTTCACCTCAGCATTAACATATAGCACATGTAGCATCTTAAAACATGACAGATTGTGTTTGACAGCCAAATAATTTAGCAAAAACAAGACTGAAATTTTGTATATTACATTAACAACATTTTGTATAAAAGTATCGTTGCTAATAAATAACACTCCGCTTAATTATTTTGTTTTCTAAGTCTAAATTGATGTAGCTTTCATGCTAATACGGCTAACATCATCATAATGTCCTACAGCGTTTGTGTCTGTAACATACGGTTATTCATATTTATAATGATGACACTTACTTGAATGAAGTCTCCTGATGTTAAATGAAGCAGAGCAGCGGAAATAATGCGAATTAACGCCGGTTTGAACTGATTTATTGAGTGTGTAAAGTCACTCACAAGCGAACCGCTGCAGATCAGACGGGGAATCAAGACACGCTCATCCGCTCCTGCTGAAACCGGAAATTACATGGTAGCGCTTGCGGACAATGGATAGAATAAAAGTCTTGGAATTTTATATAATAAAAGTCTTTTTTTTTCCCCCCAGTCAAATTTTATTTATTATTGTCATGTTATTTCATTTTGGTGTCGCTTCATCTTTCTTTTTTAAAAGCCATTATTTAATCAAAATGAAAGATTTTGAGACAATCTATTTTTCCGTATGATAAGCACCCAACATTGGAATTACAACACTATGTATCCTACACAGAAATGGTATACTGTCCACATAAATCATATACTGTGTGTGCACATACATTTTTTATTTAATTTGTCAAAAGTCAATAATAAGTCAAAAATAATTAAAAATGGTTGGGCATATCAGTTATCAAACAATTTAACACAAATTTTTTTTAAAAAAAAATGATTGCTTTCTTAATTACATGGTCGCACTGTGAAGTATTCAACAGCGGACATTTTTTTCAAATAGAAAATGTCTTGAAAACTAAACGATTTCCCTTTCCATTTATGCAACAAAAGTGCTACTTTCCATGCGTAAAGTTTTGTTATTATTATTAAATGTAATTAATTAAATTTATACATTTAATGGTTCTTGCACACAACAAAAACAGTCATTTTAAAGGGGAAAAATATTTTATTTAATTTCATTTAATTGACAACAAATATTCAATATATACATGGGTGCTTCAATATCTGACAAGTATTGCATCACTAAATAGTGTTATTTTAATACAGACATTAAAATAAACCCTTTTTTCCCTATTACAAGTTTAAATGGTGCTGAAAATACTCTTTAATCTGCATTGACATATGCATTCACCACAGAGCAATAATCTGCGGCTCGCACAGAAACGACGTCACTCCACAACTGGATCTACAGCTACGACTGCAGCATTTCTTCCAGTGTAACGTCACACTCCTCTCACGCTTAAACACACGCTAATCCTCTCGCTCTCTCTCTCGCACTGCGCTTACAACCCTTCTCATGTCCACTGCAGGACAGAGGGTTCTTCCACACACTCTTTGGATTCAAACAGTAACAAGCTGTGTACGAGCGTCCTCAGTATGTTTCCTTTCGTTTCTGAGGTATGAGAAGCAGCTTGTTTCAGCCCGGCGTGCCGAAGTTCTTCAGAGCCTCTTTCATCTTGTCTCTGGCCAGAGCGTAGCGCCGCACGATCTGCCGTACGTGATCCTCCTCCTCCCGCTGCAGGATGCGCAGGAAGTTCTGAAGTTCAGGAAAACTGAACGCATCCCACTGCCAGAAGAAATAACATATTGGTCATTCCTCATATGTGCGTATATCCCTTTAAAAATGATGAGTTCCTGTCAGAAGACTGTTTACTCACATTGACTTCCCCCGTTTCATTCTCTTTAAGGACTAAACTGAGGCCCTTCTCGTTGGGTCCAGCACACAGACGCAGGAAAAGCGGACGCTCATCATCTGCTAACTTCCTTAAGTACACTAGAAAGAGAAAGGCAACATGATATTTATTATTTGTTTACAATGTATTTATTGTTTATTATAAGAATCGATGTAGATGTCAAAAGCTACGAATGGTCTGCACACCTTGGTTCTGTCGTTCGCTGCGTTCAAACAGTGAGAACTTGGCCGGATTGTCCACCACAGTGAATTTCTTCAGCAGGGCTTCGATGACCTCTCTGGCCCGTGTGCTGGAGCTGATGTGCAGGTGTTTGACCGTGTCTCTGGGCAGGTAGAATGAGGTGCGACGCTTCAGTGCTTCGTCTTCCTGACACACTCCATCCCGTCCCGAGGAGGAGCACGTGATCTGTGGAGGAGGGAGAGACACGGGCCGGACCAGCTTAAACTGGACCTTTATGAAGCCAGTGTAAGATCCATCACGGTTCTGATGGGGAGGACCAGAAAACATTTTTACAGTTACTCTCTGAAATTTGATACTTACGGCAAATACCACAAATAAATATACATAATATAATTATACACATAATATTATATGAATTTATATAATTGCACTTATGTATTATTATTATTATTATGTGTTAAAGTTATTATAATACGAAGACCAAATAAAAATATACATATATATACAGTATATATACACACAAAGTAATATAATGTATAATATATTATGTATTATTTTGTTTTATTATAATGCAAAAACCACTAAATAAATATTTGTATGAATTTATAAACAATATATTATGTAAATTATGTATTACTATTTTTTTTAAATAAATTATATATTTTATATAACAAACAGTATTCTATATCACATAATTACTTTATATTTAAATAAAATAAAACAATTTTATTTTGTAGAAAATATATGTATATAAAGGATATAATTGATAATATCACATTTTTAATTAATTCTATTTGATCAATTTTGTTATTATATAAATTAATAGATTATATATTTATATAACAATTTCTAGATTAATATACGCTTACATTATATTATTATATTTCAATAAACTTATTCATCTAATTTTATTTGTTAGAATATATAAATATAATTTTGATAATATATGACCGTTTTGAATTAAAGTGAAAGTGACGTGACATGTGGCCAAGTATGGTGTCCCATACTCGGAATTTGCCAGTCCTTAACAAACGGCAAAAAAACAGTATGATATATTTACACATTTAACACTGACAGGTTTCCTTACCAGAACCATGAAGAGGTTACTGTTGACCTGAGCGTTGTATTCTTTCACTTTCTGTTGTATTTCACTGACAGACAGCTCCTGTTTTCTCCAGTCCACTAGCTCATCCTGTAGGACAAGAGGACAGGACAGTGTGTGATACATCACATGACCACAAGAGGGCGGCAAAGAAACCTGGAGAGAGACTCAGATTGGCTGATGTATTCCTCAAGATATACCGGTATATAACAAACAGAGAAGATGTGGGATAACTTGATCAGTTGTCCTAAACACTGATATTTATGGGTTTTCCTGACCAATAAGGATCAGATTTTGAAGAACTTTGACAAAAATGTCTGACTTTTATACAATTATATTGAACAACAATAGCTGGTTGTGTTTGTACAGCAGAACAATCGCACTCTGAGGCATAAAGTGGGTTTGAAATCATCTTTCAGATCCAGCTGGATGCCTTTACCCACAACTCACAGAGAAAACAACCCTCTCTCATCCAGAAATAGCAGACAGGAAGTGGGAATGAGCACACACACACACACACACACACACACACACATTCATGTCGACTCTAAATGCTTCTGAACGTGTCTGAAGAATTCACAGATTTTCAGTCAGTCCATTAACTTCTCAAGTACGAAACCTTCCTAAATTTGTGGTGAAAAAAAAAATGTTTCCTATATTTGAGATCCCTAAAGATTAGCATATTATTGCATTACTATTCATTAAGTCAGCAATTTTATTTTAAGTAACTTTATGATATATTAAGTATTTATTATATTAAATGTGATTACTAATTAACCAGTTATTATTAAATTATTTTTAAGTTTAATTCATATGGTGCTATTTTACTTCTATTTCACAATACATATTGCTCTTAAATAAATATATAATAAACACTTAATATATAATAAATAAACTACTGTTTTTAATCTAAAAATTAATGCCTATTTTAAAAATAATTATGTTTATAAATTATGAATGCAAAAGACAAACTCCGCTAATGATGTACAATTTGGTGCATTGCACCACTAGATTAATGCACAGTGTGTTTCAGTGATGTCACATAAATAAAAATAAACCTGGTTCACTTTTATCTTTGAATACAATGGCTTCATGAATAGTAATGAAGGTTTAATTAAGATTCAAGTCTTTAAACTGATTATGAGCTATAAAGAGACGTGAACAGACTGCAGTGATGCTTTGATTGGTTAATCAGGTTAAGAGCTAACTACTCAGCATGACATCATCTGAAGAGGAACCCCCAACACACACACACACACACACACTTACACACACACACACACACACACACACTCACTTGTATTTGTGGTTTACGGGGACTCTCCATAGGTGTAATGGTTTTTATACTGTACAAACTGTATTTTCTATTGCCCTACACCAACCCTACCCCTAAACCTACCCCTCACAGGAAACTGCTGCCAGTTTTTGAATTTCATAAAACACCGTTTTGTATGTTTTTTAAGCCTTTTGTTTTACAGGGACACAGGAAGTGTCCTCATAAACCATGTTTACGTTGTAGTACCCATGTCATTATACACATTTGTGTCCTCATAAACCATATATACCTGTACACACTCACACACACACACACACTCACACTCACACACACACTCACACACAAATATCTAAAAAGTCTAAAATATTATATAAAAATACAATAAATATTGAAAAAATAATGTATAATTTGATTAAAACTACTGATTATACTTTTTAATCATTATTTACATGACTGAAAATTATTGGGAGTTGATGCAAGCATCATTTAAAATAAACACACGCGCATTGTTGGCACACCGAACCGCGAGATATCCGTTAGTTCAGTTTCTCCTGTTCAAACTGGACTGTAAAGTCGCAAAGCCGCCCAAAAACGCCAAAATAATGTACATTAATGACCATTAGCCACTGTCTTACTTTTTCCTTGCGTTTTTTGTTTTTTCTGAATGACGTGCGCGCGGTGTAGAACTGCTCGAGCTCGAGCTCGGAGTCGCTCTGGCTGCAGTACCCGCTGCTCGCGCTGCTGCCCCACGTCATGTCGAACCACTCGCAGTCCGTCATTATCACACCGACAGCAGCCGGACCGGGACCGGGACCGGGACCGGGACCGTGGAGGACTTTCCGCTGCGTCTGAGGAGGATGATGTGGCTGTCTGACCGACCTCGTGCAACCAGGATACAACCGTTAGGCGTGATTCGAAACCCCACCCTTCCGCTGTGCTCCGCCCCCTCGCACACAGGCTCCTCCCCCATTCAATCCTGCCGCACCCCCGCAGAACAATGGCATACAGATTGCTGTTTAAAACATATATAGATAATATTTCCTTTCTAACTATTTTCTAACCAATAAAAATATAATTACATCTACATATAATTATATAATTGTTACAAAATATTGCATACAGTAATATGTAATATTTGTTATATATTAATATATTAATATTATTTGTTATATATAATGTATTTTAAATAGTATGTTGATAACAGTCAATAATAGTATAAATACATTTACAATAATAATAATAATTATTATTATATCCAATATTAGCAATTTGCTAATCTGCATAAATGATATAATAATTGTTCGCTACATATAAAAATATAGCATTTATTTTAAATAGTACATTTATAACAGTAAATAATAGTATACATGTGTTTTAAATACACATACACTATCAAGCATATAAAATGTATATTAGTAAAAATAATAATAATTATTATTATTAGAATTATTATTATCTACAATATTACCAGTTCACATCCAAACATTTAGTATGACAAAGTGCAACAAACAATGTACATCACTACAGTGGGCAAATAAAAATATAATTACATCTACATATAATTATATATATTAATTATATAATTACATATTAATTATAAAAAATAATTACATATAGTAATATTTGTTATACAAAAACATAACATTTATTTTAAATATTTATAATAGCAAATAATAGTATAAATGCATTTTAAATATAAATATGAATTATTATTATTATTATTATTATTATCATATCCAACATTACCAATTAACATACATTTGGTATGACAGAAAAGCTGTGCAACAAACAAACAAACAATATAAATCACTACAGCTAAAAAATAAAAAAATATAATCTACATATAATTATATAATATTTGCATAAAACATATTTAATGTTTGTTATATATAAAAATACATCAAATAATACACTTATAATTGTAAATAACAGTATAAATGTATTTTAAACTTATGCATATTAAATGTATATAATAATAAGAATAATAAATTATTCTTATTATTATTGTTATTACTATTATATACAATGTTACCATTTGGTATGACAGAAAAGATGGGCTGCAAACAACATACTTTACTACAGTGGACAAAAGAACTGCTGGGTTTCAGGAGAATATTATATACGTATAAATGTTTCACAAATCCTGTGCCATCTGCATAAAATGTGCTGCTGGAAAAAGTCTTGTGTGTATTTAAAAGGATTAAAATGAGAAGAAAGACCATCACGCAAATGTTGCATGGCCAAATGAAAGTTTAAGATGATTTGCACATTTGTAATTAGGTAAGAGCTCCATTGTTGAGCTGATCAGTTCATTCACCCAGCTGTCAGTCCTCCACCCTCCCCCATATCACTTTCACATCATTACTCAACAAACACTCACTCACACTGAAAATCAATGGCAGACCTATCCTTCACAGATCCACACTGTGATTATAACTTTCAATTATTATGTAAATAATAATTATAAACCAAATATCCAATGCAACTCTATATATACAAGCATTGTTAATAAATTCCACATTTTCAGAAAGCTTAAAAAAAATCAATCGATCTAAGAAGTCAGGCCAGTTCATGTATTTATTTACATTTTAAATGTTAAAAAGTGAGCAGCTGCTTTATTGTGCGGTTGCTAAGCAACCTCTCCTCCATGGCGCTGTTGTAAATTGCACACGTCACTGCGTGTGTAGGACGGTAATAAAACCCGCACTGATGGCATATGGTGCGCTGAGACACTGATCTACGTCTAGCGACAGATGACAGGGTGGAATAATTTAATTACGTTTTAATGTAACACATGCGCATGTCTCTGATTTACATTTACTAGTAAACTCTCCTCTCTAGTAGTTCTAGTAGTTCGCTCACCACATTAGTGTCCGTCTCGATCGTGTCCTCGCAGCAGTTTAGCTGTTCGCTGACGGCGTCGCAGTTCAAGCTGCAGTCCAGTTGAATGAAGGGTTGACAGCGGTAGTGACAAGTGTAATTACAGTCTGAAGAGACAAAACGTTCATTCACAAACTGAAACCACAAATACATATAAATCCAGCTATTTTGAAGAACATGTGTAACCAAACTGTTACCGGTAGCCATTGACTTCTATTGTATGGAAAAAAAATACTATGGAAGTCAATGGCTACCGTCAACTGTTTGGTTGCCAACATTCTTCAAAATATCTTCTTTTGTGTTCAACAGAAGAAAGAAACTCATACCGGCTTGAAACTTGAGGGTGAGTAAACGATGACAGAATTTAAATTTTTGGGTGACTGTCTCTTTAAATACAGTTCTCCATTCACAGAGCTACAGTTTAATAGTTCATTTCTGTTTTTTGGTGGCATAAACTGAATTTAGAGAGCTCAAGCTTTGATGGTCCAGAACAGTCGGATTCATCATGAATGAATGTACAGCGCCGCCTGCTGGTCATGCTGATGTATGTTGAAGTGTAAAAAGCGTTTATGATCGTTTTAATATTTGATTATCTATTATGATGTTTTGGGCAAATAGAGAAAGAGAAAAACAGAGAAAACTATATTTTTACCTTTTCTGAAGATTATGTGGGTAGTACTTGCAAATCTCACTGTTACAGCGTCAAGATATCTGGGAGGTTGCCAGGGAATTGCTAAGCTGTTGCTAAGGTGTTCTTGATGGTTGCTAAGGCATTTATTTCTTTATTAATACAGTTAAGCATTTATTTATGCTTTTATTTATTTTCTGTTTGCTATTCATGTTCATTTTCTATATTGTATGTGTCCTGTTGGTTTGCTTTTGCAGTTTTTTTACTTTAAATACTTTTACTTTTACTTTAAATTCAAAGTCAGTTGCACATATTTTTTTTTACACATAGTTGCACATAGTTTTTTATTTAAATTTTCTTAGATGAAACAATTCAATTAAACACATAATTCAGGTATTAATTAAATTGTTTTTAATTTATTATGCATTTACTTATAGATTTACATGTATTTATATATTAATACATGTATTAGTATTTTTTTTATTTTAGCATCTAATTATTTTATTTAGTTACAATAACTTATTTTAGTTTATTTATTATTTTGTATTTATGCATTAAATAATGACATGATTGATTGATTTGCTTTTTAATTTCCTCTTAAATGTCTTGACTTTGTGTTTACAACACACACCCACACAATCTCTATCCAACAAGAGACGCTGTCTAAACTGTCCATTTCCCTGTCTAAACATCCTTTTCCTATTGGCTTACGGTCTCTGAGGGTCAGATTGTCTTGACGGTAGCATTTACACAGCAGAAGACAGATACCCCTGTGGAAATGGTCTCGATTATCTCGTACCGCACACAGAAATGACTCACGTGTGCAGCGGAGGCTCTGGCGGTACAGGCTCCAGATGAACTCCCCGCAGAGGTCGCACCAGTTGAGCTGCGTCTGGCTGCAGGGCTGGAAGTCGTGTCCCCGGCCCGGTTTACACGTCAGCCAGTCGGGGTCCTCCAGATGCACACGCTCCCCCACCATCCGCACCACCTTCTCTTTGCTCCACCTTTCCAGAGTGGGTCCTGCGCGGGACAGAGGGGGCGCTAACTCGATGCGGTCATCTGGAGTCAAGTCCTGCAATTCAATAAGTTCACATTTTGCCATCTTGGGAATGCGAGAGGCTGAAAAGCATGGCTCAGTAGGTCATGGGAGATGATTTATAACTTCAGACCACATCAGAGCGACCATGTTTACTCCAAACCAGGCCCACAGACTTCAAGTTCTGATGTGTTTGCATATCCAGGCTAAGAACAAACATGGATCACTTTGTCGATCCTACAGTCTTAACACAAAAGAGACTATGTTTTCTGACGAGTTTTCAGAAAGATGTCCTCTTAGTTCAGTTTTCAGCAGCATCTGGCTCAGTCTGAGGAAAAACAACAGAGATTAGATTAGATTATGCTATATTGTGGTGCTGTATGATTATAGCAAATGTGGACAGTTATAATCTCTCTGATCTTCAAAGAACTCCATTAATGGGTTTTTCTATCATTATATATATAAAAAATTTAATTATATATATATATATATATACATATTAGAAATTAACAATATTTAAAAATGGTTATATATATTTATCACGGGTGAGGACCCTTGATATTTGTTGAACAGAATTAAATGTTTAGTATGTATAGGATAAGAGCTTCTTTAAACATCAGGCAGAAAGTCTACAAACGGGAATATATGGGGATTTAACATTCCAGCGGCTTTGTGCAAACAAATCTGTCCATCTTTCTGGAGGCTGATCAGTATGCGTGAGGAGGGAAATTGCGCTCAAGGGTGTTTTAGACCATTTTTGTTGTAGGGCACCTCTTTTGGCTAATGTCCTAATCCAGAGAACAGCCCGAACAACCAACCAGAACAGAGAGAGGCGTAAAACTGGGTCACAAAAGAATAGCAAATAAATAACACATAAAATAGACAGATATAGTTAAGTGCAGAATAGAATAGAATACCAGATAAAGATTTGAAAGCATGTGCAACTGGCAAATTACTTTGCGAAATAATGCATAATAAATAAATGCACCAATAAATTTGTAATTTATGTACATTTATGTAAATTACATAAAGTAAATCTATAAATACATGCTTAAAAATGATAAATAAATTAATAAATGTTTTTTATTTAATTAATTTAATTAAAATGAATAAATGAATTAATAGAATACAGACTAGATGTTAAAATGTGACTTCAAATGCATTTAATGCATAGATAAACTAAATAAATAATAAATGCATAAATAAATCAAGAGAATAGAATACAAAATAGAAAATAAATAAACGCATAAATAAATAAATAGGCTAAATAAATGCATGAATGCATAAATACTAGAAATCATAACTTAATACAACAACCTGATAAAAAATAAACTAATGTGAAACTGTGTAGCATTAATTGCAGACAAATAACACTGAAATAAACAGACAAATAAACAAATATAATGAAATAATCTCTTACAGATTAGATTAGCAATTTGACGTCATTGAAAAAAGCCTACAAACTTCAGAAAGTACATCTGTAATTTGTCGGTTCAAGTCAGATCGCTCGTATCTGGACCCCTTGTAGTAACTGTTTAAGAAGGCGAACATACCTTAAACCAAAACAAGTCACTTTTAACGGTCAAAGCTGTCAGACTGACAGTAAACGCGTCCGTTTTCTCAAATCCGCTTTTGGCGTAATTTGCGCGCACGACGCGTGTTTGAGTGCAGATAACGCAAGTGATTGCGCAAAACCGAGAAAACGTTTTACATTCCGCTCAGAACAAAAGAGAAAATGATCCTCCACCGGCAGCAAGACGCTTCCTCAGATGTTTCCTCGTGCTTCGCAGTCGCAGCTAGAAACCGGGTCGATCTGTTTCTCCTCCGAATTTATCCAGCCAGTGCGCGTTTGTGCGCATGCGCCGTACACTCAGATTAACGCTTAATCCGGCGCGATCTGTCCTAGATAGAGCGAAGGCAGAGCAGACATCATTTCCTGAAGCATTTGGTGGACCCTCGGGTCTAATACTGCGAACCTCCGCCAGTGTGGGTCTATTTACAATAACCTTGTTTGAAATTAAACTCGTTCTTAAAGGGACAGAGCAGCCAAAAATGATTCACTCTCACATCATTATTTCCTCTGAGGAACTAAAACAAGATTCGTAACGCAGCTCTTTGCCATAAAAGTGCTCCATATAACTTGTATGGTATATATTTTAAGAGCATGATAGTTTTGTGTAAGGAACAGAGTAAACTTTAACTCGCATTTGACAATTCTTCAGAATATTGCTCTGGAATTATGCATACGTGCTGGAAATAACCTTTAGAAACAGAAAGAACTGCAATTTAGAAGATCAGTTCCCATTTTCACATGTGAAACTTTCAGTGCAGTGACTACATAGAAATCTAGTGCACTTACCTTGCTGCACACTAGGAGCTGGCAGACGTCCATAGGCTTGATGTAATTCTCTTTCTCTGATAGCGGATGTCTTGTGTCATCAGGAAGAGAGGCCTGGAGACCCACAGGAGGAGATAAGGAGGTTTCTGTCCTCCGTTCAGTCTGGACGAGGGCCAGCGGGTCACAGGACACAGGAATTCACGCCAGTAATTGGTCGTGAATGTCTGATTTTGTTACGGTCATCGGATGTCAATTTCATGACATTTCACTGAACAAACTCTGCTGTTCTCCCTGATATATGGCTGTAACTATAGAAACAAGAGTTCCTAGTTGAGATTGAGAGTAGCTCAAAGGGGTTTGCGCTGCGGTTTGATTGTATATGTGTGTAAATGAGCTGTATTGTGTACATTTGAGAGAGCACCAGTAGAAATAGAGCATGAGCGTCCGTCACGAGTCGGAGCCTAAACTGTACCGCTACAGCAGGACGGTGTGCGGCGTCTTCACTCATGTGCTGTGCGCGCTCTTCAGCGGCTTCATCACTGTACTGAGCAGACCTGGATCCAGTGAGTAACGTTACAGCGAAGAGCAGCACATATCACTCATACTCACGAGCAGTGTTGGGGTAACGCATTACAAGTAACGCGAGTTACGTAATCAGATTACCTTTTTTTCAAGTAACTAGTAAGTAACGCATTACTATTTAATTTACAATAAAATATCTGAGTTACTTTTTCAAATAATTAACTCCAGTTACTTTGTTTCCATGTATTGAGTGACAGCTCTGGTGTTGCCACGGTGACAGAAATCAGGAGTAAGTGCAGAGCGTTGTGTGTGAACATGATCTTACTGTAG